ATCGATCTACATTCTGAAGAGACGCGAAGGCCATGGAAGAACGCATCCCGAGAAACACGTGAAAGGATAACATGTGGCTAAAACATAGTTTTGGGATTCCAATGCTCGAGAGATGGAACTTCGCCTTCTATTCAGAGTCCTCATAATTTGGAGTAAGTTGAATCGCGTGTCTATTATCCAATAGTGTCAGACGTTCGTCCGATATGGCGCTGAATAAGACGCTCTGTGAAAAGACACTCATTTTGTAGTATCTTAGGAGTAAATGTGTCCATTACGTGGACCCCATTGTGATGGGACTCATTGTACACAATATTTTATTGCTAATCAGAACGCTTCTGGTTGATTTGGGGAATCCACTTTAGCCGAAGGAGTCTGTGGTTCAGCGTTAACAGAATCTTTGCACATAGACGCATGGCGCAGCAGACATAGACATACTGCGGAGAACACACAATGTAGTTATTATTCAAGGTTGTGCAAAAACATGAGAAGAATACTGTGTACGCGACACACATCACTTCTATGCGGAAGATCTATCCATCTTTCCAACTAGAAGATTTTCTATCCATCGTTCTGTGATGATGCCATGTTACACAATCCATTTCCGAGAATTCTACTTGTCTGATTCTCTACGATCTACACACACAACACTCTAGTGGGATTATGCACCGGGGGAGCTGCGATTTCCCGATATGAAAATCCACCAGCAGCCAGAACCGTTCAACTAAATTGGTAGCACAAAGAGTTTTCGGCGAGGCTTATTGGTTACTGAAAACTACCAACATCAGTCACAAATGAGGGTACAAACATTTCGAGACCCCTTTACGGAGCCTTTTATAAATGGCTCATTGGGAAGTTTAGAGAGTGTATCGCTCAGCTCCTGTGTATGCATTTTTGTTTTGTAATTTTAATTATTTACATGTCCTAATCTGCAAGTTTTGTTTAAATTTATACGATTTCTTCACGTTACTGAATTTCCTACAAACAATAGTGTACGTTCTCTATATTTACACTGAAAAGTAAGAAAGTAAAGAAAGCTTTGTAAAGATTTTGAATTATTTAGAGGAATTTCAACAACATGTAATTTTTTGTAACTCAGTGTTTTGTAATCAAAGGACAGAGGAAAGAAAGGTGACTGCGCGTTTCGTTCAATGAGCTTAATATTACAATTAAACTATTGCTGATCATTTGAGCCTCCGACACTACAATTTTTCTTCCTCTCAATTGGTTTGGAAGTGGAACGATTATTTACTCATCGGGGATTCAAATCTCAATCCGATTTCGAAATTCTGTCACCTGAATCTGGTCCAAAATACGTCCGACTGTTGCCCATTGAAGCAACACGAGGGTGGATGTTGGACCGCGATCAAAGTAACGACTCCTGAGCTGTGACGCCATCACGCGAACGCGAGGACTTTTGAGCTTCCAATTGATTGAATATGAACACGGCGGACCAAAATATGTCTCGCAGACAACTGCTTGAGAATACTTGTCGTAAATTGTTTGTGATGTGATAGTGCTTGGTTACATAATGTTCCCCTGATTATTCATGGGGAATTAACTTTAAAAGTGCAATTTCAACAAGCAACAAAATTGAATGAATTTTTGAAAGAAGCAAGTAAAAAAAAAGGGGCCAACCACAGGAGACGAAACAATTCTCAAAGCTATTCTAGAAGTGGCGCCGTTGAAATGATTCCATAAATTTTATTCTGACGTAGATTGTTATATGGAGGAGAGAGAGAAATAGGCCATAAATAATCACGTCTATCGTGAACCGAGTAAATAAGCTTGAGGTTTTTTTTTTCTAGTTTTCTAACTTGCTTATTGTATTAAAAGAATGTAACAAATAGTTTTTTTTTCTTATTAATATTGTCGAATCCAAGAAAGGACATTCTTTTTTCATGTTTAAAATTACCTTTTCCATCATCATGAAAGATTAAAAAAAATAATTAAGGTTTTTTTTAACGCAGTATGCATTTATTGAAGAAAAACTCAAAGCATGGAATCCAGAAATGGTTTCAGTTTGCGTTTTCTGCTTTTTTATCTAACAAGGGGAGGGCATGGCTAAGGAAATTCATTTGGGATCGAGACTTGGTTTAATAATAGTACTCCTTTAGAGTGTTCACCCCTCAATGTAATTCCGCCGAATGGCCAGTCAATTCGGAGAAATCAGCCTTCAAAATTCCTACTTAGCTTTTATACAATTAAATTTTAATTTTCCGCATCGAGTTCGTAGCTTGATTGGTAAATCGTCTGCTTACTATGCGCGAGGTCAGGGTTCGATTCCACGCGATCAACTTTTTTTCTTCAATTCTTTTAATATAATTTTTTTAAATTAAAAAAATTTATTTATGTAAGGTTTATTAAATTTAAATGATAATTTTTGTAATTATTTTGTATTTTATAAAGTAAAAAAAATTAAAAATATATAACTGAAATTATTTATTAGTAAAATTATTTAAAATTAGTATTAATTAAAAATATTTAAAATTATTATGAATGAAAAATATTTAAAATAATCATTAAATAAAAATATTTAAAATAATTATTAAATAAAAATATTTAAAATAATTATTAAATAAAAATATTTAAAATAATTATTAATGAAAATTATTAATAATTAAAATTAGTAAATTAATTATTATTTATTAAAATTAACTAACTATTTATTATAATTAATTAATTATTATTCAGCAATAGTATTAATGAGAAAATTATTAATTTATTATTAAAATTATTATTAATTTATTATTAAAATTATTATTAATTTATTAATAAAATTATTATTAATTTATTATTAAAATGATTATTTATTATTAAATTTATTAATTTATTATTAAAATAATTGTTTATTTTTAAAATTATTATTAATTTATTATTAAACTTATTAATTTATTATTAAACTTATTATTTATTATTAAACTTATTAATTTATTATTAAAATTATTATTAATTTATTATTAAAATTATTATTAATTTATTATTAAAATTATTAATTTATTATTAAAATTATTAATTTATTATTAAAATTATTAATTTATTATTAAAATTATTAATTTATTATTAAAATGATTGTTTATTATTAATATTATGATTTATTATTGAAATTATTATTATTTTATTATAGAAATTATTTAAATAAATTTATTAAAATTATGTAAATAAACTTTTTGAAATTAAATAAGTTTATTTGAAAAGGACTTATTAAATATTTTATAAATTATTTTATATTATATATATTATTTTATTTATAGTACATTTTGTATTTCACATTATAAAACTATTCGTACCTAATTTTTTTGTAAAATATCATTTAATATTTATAATATATTTTATTGTAAATATTATTTATTAATATAAAATATATTTATAAAATTTAATATAATTATTTATATACATAATTACAGTAATTTTTTACTTTATAAAATACAAAATAATTATAAAAAATATTATTTTATATTTAATAAACTTTTCATAAATAAATTTATTTAATTTAAAAAATAATTAAATGAATTGAAGAAAAAAAGATGATCGCGCGTGGAATCGAACCCTGACCTCGCGCATAGAAAGCAGACGATTTACCAATCAAGCTACGAACTCGTTGCGGAAAATTAAAATTAAATTGTATAAAAGCTAAGCATGAATTTTGAAGGCTGATTTCCCCGAATTGACTGGCCATTCGGTGGAATTACATTGAGGGGTGAACACTCTAAAGGAGTACTACTATTACGCCAAGTCTCGATCCCAAATGAATTTCCTTAGTCGTGCCCTCTCCTTGTATGTATGTGACCCCGGATCAAGCCGGTGGATTTTCATGATGCAGAAAATCGACAGCGTCCATGCCATATGATTATGTGGCATGTTGAAGATCCCTAGAGTGCTTGTTTGGCTTAGGTGCTGTCAGCAAAATTAAATTCCAAGAACAATTTCGCATCGTCAGAGCTCAGGTGCCTCTTCCGGGAAATGCATTGCGGCAATTGGTATTCTACCTATATAGTGCTGCACTAAAAAGTGATACCAGCTTCCGGGGAATGTACTAGATCTCTGCAATGGTAAATACTAAACCACAGCCCCGTTGGAAATAATATCTACATTCGTTTGTTTTTAATCGCGCTGTTTTATTGATTTTGCAGTAACGGCATGCCGAAAAGCAACACGAAGTTCCTGGAAACGGACCTTATAATTTTGTACAATGGGCATCTTATTCTTCAAACATTCACATCACACCGACATGATATTGACACCCCTCCTCCAAGAGATTTCTATACATCCTATTACACGACTTTATTTTTAATATACCGGGGAAACCATAACTCGACAGAAACAATGCCGGCCACGACCATGAACTTTCGGTACCACAGTCACGCTGGAAGTAAGTTTTAAACTGTGAATTTGATACGTAGAAGCTCGTGGGGCAGCATAATCGCTTAGGTCTGTGTCGAGTTGTAGCTCGGTAGAGTTCTGGTACCACTGAAGACTCTTCGTGGTGAGGAGTGTTGATCGTTAATTCTGTCAGGATTCAAAATTCTCCCACAGGAGTGGAGAGTGGGGTGACAGGTCAGATGTCAACCTCGTTTTCTGACACGATTCAGAAGTTAGAGACGTTTTAACTGTGAACTTTGTGGGATATATCCTGATGCATTTACTAATTATTTATTCAATAACTAGTTTTTTACCGTTTTTTGTTCCCCCAAATCGACAAAATCAAAAGGAGCATGATACAAGAATGGTGGACTTTCGACCCTGGACCCTTGGAAAACTTCTGTGTGCGCTATTGTATATGTATATATATATCTTGCTCAAATTTTCAATCGTTAATAAAATACTTTTTATTCGTCCACTCAAGTTCAAATACAATCTTTTAAAATTGTAGCGAATGACATTTGATGTTAATACAGTTTTTTCAAATAATAATTCATTAATTAAATTTTATTAATGAATAAATAGTAACAAACAAAAATAATAGTTCAACACCGTATATAGAAAGGAACATCGCTCGTTGTATCTCTGTAGCGCAATGGATAGCACATTGGACTTCTAATAAAAAGGTCGTGCGTTCGAATCGCACCTGGGATGGCCTAATTTCTAAGAATGTGATTTCATTTTGCTATACTATTTTATTAGAATAATTACATTCAATTAATGAATAAATTGTAAGAAACAAAAAAGATAATCCAACACCTTACGGGAATGGAAAATTGTAAGGAAAAAAAATGGAAAATTGCAAGGAAAATCGTTTTTTATTTTGTCCCTTAATATTGTGATTCTCTCATATGTATGTACATATTTATATTAATTGTAATTATTTAATAAAAAATAAATAAAATAAAATTTTCTTTGTTGACCTAAGTAGGAATTGACTTAATTTTTTTTATATTACTTGTTTAACTTAAAATTAAGCTTACCTTTTGGTTTCCAATAAATACGAGAAATCGGGTTTTATATTAATATTCCTCTAAAACTGAACGAAAGACATAGGTTGTACTTAGTATCACAAACATCTCGTCAAATCCAGTTGTCGAATTTGTTACAAATTATTCAAAAAATGATAAGTTAGGGCGGAAGAATAGCTTATACTTTTTCACCCTTGCCGGTGAAGCTTGACTTCAGGTACGAAAGTGAAAAATTTATAATGATTTTTGAAGTGATAACTTCTATTGGCATGATTTGCTGGACAGTGAACTTGAATGAACGTCACGCTCGGAAATGCAACGCTCATTCGGCTTTTTCTATCTTCATTCGGACATACACACCCTTAAAGAGGAAAGGAGGGACGTTTCCCCGCCAATCTGAAACCGGTAGTTTGTCCCCAAACCAATAAAAGTGAAAGTAAAGTTCCTAGCTTCCATCTAAGTGGGCCCCCTCGCCTCTTTCTAGAGCAGGGGTGGCCAACCCAAATGACCTCGCGGGCCACTTCGGAAAAATTTTACAATCCCACGGGCCGCATATAAAAATATATATCTTTATATTAGAGTTGGATCCATAACAAACATTTGTTGGAGTAAAAATTTAAAACAGACTGATATATAATTGTTTTCATTGTTTTTCATGTATACAAACATAGATAGTATAATAATAATAATGCAATGATCAAATAATGTTTAGTTTATTTAATTAGTGAGATATTTGTTTCTCAACTCTTTCACTTAATTTTTGCAAGTCGATCTCAATGCATGAGTATTTGCGTATCGTAATTGATGTTGCAGATTTCCGTGCGTTAAGTTTGAGCACGATTTATGTTTCATAAATTTCAATTTAGAAAAAAAGAGATTCGCAGGAACAGAAGCAGCGTGATAAAATAATAAGAGTTATGGGATTTATTTTTTTTACAAAAAAATAAATAAATAATAATAAAAAAAAAACTTTTTAAACAAAAATATTGTACACAAAATAGTCGAATTTTGTAAAGTTGTGAAGAATCTCGAGGGCCGCAAAACCATTCAAGGACCACCTCCAACCATTCGGCTTCCGGGCCACGAGTTGAACACCCCTGTTCTAGAGGAATGAATGCGGGATTCCTTATAATCCTCGAAGCATGAAAATGAAACGTAATATTTTTAAAAAATAGGCTTAAAGAGAAAAAGAAATCATACACTAAAATTAAACATAAAATGTAGAAAAAAGACAAATTTTTTATAGGACTAAGTAAATAGTATTATTATCATTAGGAATATTGCAGTAATCTTAAGAATAAAAATCTATTTTTGTGTAAGCGAATCGGAATAGCAGTGAACAAATAATTCTCTTAATCACATTACTTAAATATACTTTGAGTTTAAAAAAAAATTAAAACAATTAAAAATTTAAAATAACAAAATTAAGTATACAGATATTAAAAAAGTTACATTAAATAATTTAAATCAAGAAACAAAATATAATTAAGAAGACCTTCCTTGCAGCAACACCGGATATATTTGTACAAACCTCCCATACAATGACAAAAGAGCTAGTATAAGCCAGAAATTATGTGATATATATCTTCTGATTAAATCCCTTTTTAAAGGTTTTGACCTAGATTCCTCTCTTCCCAATCAACTACCTGTCATACTATCTATCCCTTTGCTTAAATTAATATTCATGGATAAAATTAAATATTGTTAAATTACAACCAATATTCACAAAGCCGGATCGGGTCTACTGAACAAATCACCTGTGATTTTAAGTGGGAATATTAAAGTAGAGTTTTCAAAAGACAAATCAAAACCTTTAATTGATTTTTTAAATCAAAATTTAATTTAATTGTGTCAAATGATCCAAATGAAGCACAAGGAAGTATGGAACAACGCTTGAAGGAGTTTTTATAGATATTTAAATAAAATTTTGAATCTAAAGGATTTATATAACCTATTTCAGCTACCATAAACCTGTTGTTTCCTTCTTAGAATACAATTAATTTCCAAATATGATTGTATATTTCGTACAAAAATATTACTTTATGAGTACAGACATATGAATAAATAATTTTATAGGACAATACTAACCTAACATCTCATTGTTTTTGTGATTCACCGAATTAAACCCTCTGAAATAACATTATACAAAATTTGAAGTTATCACTTCTATCGTGTGGTCATAAGCACACACACTTTTTTTTTGTGATTATAAATCAATTCCTTAACTATTCTACGATTACCGAGTCAGGCATCGATGTAAGATTTGCTAACTCATTGCCTTCAAAAAAGAGTTTAACTGTTAACCAGGTTAATTCTGCATCTCCAGCTATTCTAAGACTTAGTTATTGACCTTGATATTTTGTACAATTGTTCTTGAAATCTCGAAACCTTAAGGAACGTTTGAAGAAGCTGCTGTAATTCAATATAAAGGGTGTATCTAAACTTAGGGTCCCAAACGTCTTCCGAAGGAGATAGGTGCCATTAAAGTTTAGGGTCCAAATTTTAAATGATTATAAAAAACGGAAAAATGGGTCGATTTGTTAGCGGTTTTGGCTAAAATTATTCTTTTTGTCAGTATTTTCTTGAAAAATAAACTTTAAAGATAAAGCTAAAAAAATGTCAATATAGGGTGCTTTAGACTTTGGTGAAACGAACAACTATTTTTCACTATTTTTGTACCATATTAAATGCTTTCAAAAGCTTAGACTTAAACTTAAATTTTGAGCTCATAATTTGAATCGTTGGGGGTGGTTAAGTAGCGCAAAAGGAATTGTGTTCATGAGGTGAAACTTGAAACTCCCTTCCCTCTGAACAGAGATTAGTTACTCTCGATCTTTGTGTCGTAGGACTTGGTGTCGTAGATCAGGCAGCAACTACTACCTCCTACACGTAAAGTAAACGAGAGAGGGATGACAATAATAAAAAAAAATATTCACAATAGACATGAGCAACTTCTCTGCTCAAAATAAAAAGAAACAATTTGATGTACTCACGTAGTTTGTATGAATGAAGGTTGAATGAATGATGATACGTAGAAAATAGTACACGCATGATTTTCTTGCGGAATCACAAAAACTGCTCGAAAAAGTGCCTACCAGCAAAGATGCAGGCTTCACACCTCAGGCGGAGGAAATGTCGAACATTCACAAATACCCCGAGCATCTCCCGGATTTCGCCTGCTACGATGGCAATCCTCGCAACTAGGGCCTCGTCGGAGTCGACGGGCTTGCGTACTCTTCATATGGCCCCAGAGGAAGAAATCTAGGCAGGAGAGGTAAGGCGAGCGTGCCGGCCAATTTATCGGACCATCCCACCCAATCCATTGCCCTGGATATGCTGTACCCAATGCACTTCGCACATCTGCATGGAAATGTGCAGGCGCTCCGTCATGTTGGAACCACATACGAGCCTTTATGCTGGCTGGAATACTTTGCAGTAGAACTTTACATCTTTACATACAATTAGCACCATACAGTTAAATCTTTGTGTACTACACTTGCAAATCGGGTATTTTGCGGGGAGAAATTGCTCATGTCTGTTATGAATAACTTTTTTATTTAATTTTGTCATCCGTCTCTCGTTTATTTTACGTTTAGTGGGTAGTAGCTGCTGCCAAGTCTACGACTGAGCATCGAAGATCGTGAATAACTGAGCTGTGTCCAGGGAAGGAGGTGAGTTCAAATTTCACCTCCTGAACACAGTTAAGTTTGCGCTATTTAACCACCCCCAACGTTTCAAATTTTGAGCAGTTTTTGTGATTCCGCAAGAAAATCATGCGTGTACCATTTTCTACGCGTCATTATTCATTCATACACACTACGTGAGTGCATCAAATTGTTTCTTTTTATTTTGAGCAGAGAAGTTGCTCATGTAAATTATGAATAATTTTTTTTAAAAAATTTTGTCATCCCTCTCTCGTTTACTTTACGTGTAGGAGGTAGTAATTGCTGCCTGATCTACGACGCCAAGATCGGAAATAACTGAACTCTGTTCAGAGGGGAGGGATGTTTAAATTTCACCTCCTGAACACAATTCCGTTTGCGCTACTTAACCACCCCCAACGGTTTCAAATTTTGAGCTCAAAATTTAAGTATAAGTCTAAGCTTTTGAAAGTATTTAATGTGATACAAAAAATAGTAAAAAATAGTTGTTCGTTTCTCCAAAGTCTAAAGCACCCTATATCGACATTTTTTGAGCTTTATCTTTAAAGTTTATTTTTCAAGAAAATACTGACAAAAAGAATAATTTTAGCCAAAACCGCTAACGAATCGACCCATTTTTCGTTTTTATAATCATTTAAATTTCGGACCCTAAACTTTAATGGCACCTATCTCCTTCGGAAGACGTTTGGGACCCTAAGTTCCCTATTTACTATTGTTTGTCTGGATGTGTACTATGACCCCTTAAAGTTTTGCCGCAGAGTTTAGATACACCCTGTATACTGATGCATTTCTTTGATTTCATCTGGATTCTCCCTGTACAAGCATGATTTGTCAGACGAACATTAACAAATATGTACGTTTTAAAAACTCTGTGAAGCACTTCTCAAGAAACATTTCAATCGTAGCCTAAATTGGCCATTTTTGTTACATTTTTGGTAAAATCGCGACAATTACGTGAAAAATACGTTATGACAAATGTCATAATGTATTTTAAACGTAGTCAAAGTAAACATCAGTCTAG